TATGTATACTATGAATTAAAGTACCATTAGAGATACTTAAGCTGAAAAATGTTTACATTATAATTTAGTTATTTGACGGATTTCTGGAGCCTTCCCTTTGCAGATGACTGTTGTTAACTAACAGTACAAGAAACCTATCTTTTGCTTTATTGAGGAAGCGGAAGTACGCATGCCTCCAGGACTTCTTGATGATGAGAGTGCCGCAAACTCCCCAGAACCCCACAATGAAACCTAATGCCACACTGACGAAGAAATACAGCTTCTCATAATCATCCCCTTTTTCACCATTCCTCTCTGTATCCTCACCAGGAAACTGACCAGATTTTCCGTTGTTTTCAGGACACTTAGAAGATAATGGAAGCCCGCGGAGTGCTGGATTGCCCTCATAAATTGAAGGATCATTGAAGGTTTGGAACTGGTTGGTTGTTGGGATTTGTCCTGACAAGTTATTGTATGACAAGTTCAGGTGATTCAGAAATGTAAGAGAAGACATGGATGCTGGAATTGGGCCAGAAAGCTTGTTTCTTGACAAGTCAAGGGTTTCTAATCGTTTCAAGTCACCTATTTGTCCAGGTATTGTCCCTGTAAAATGATTCATGGACAGGTTTAATGTCCCCAACTCCAAAAGCCTTGTAAGCCCTACTGGCAACTCTCCTGATAGATTGTTGCTTGAAAGATCTAGACTGTTGACCAGGTAAAGAGTACTCATATATTCGAATTCTCTTCCCTTTGTCACTACACTCAATTGTCCTTCATATCTCTCAGTGTCAATGTTTACAAGTGCAGAACTCATGCCACTCAAGTTCCCTATGCATGGAGGAATAAATCCGGATAGACTGTTGTGTGAAAGGTCCAATAAGTGTAGAGTTGAAAGGCCACAAATGTCAGAAGGGATTTTTCCAACAAGTGAGTTGGATCGCAAGCGTAAAATCAACAAAGATGTCATGCTTTTTGCAATCCAGGATGGAAGGTTTCCAGATAGTCTGTTCTCACCAAGATCAAGACTATCCATGCGAGTGCAGTTCTGTAAGGAAGGAGGGATTTGACCAGACAGATTGTTCTCACTCAGTATCAAGAATTTGAGGAAGCTAAGAGAACCTATTGACCTTGGAATTGGACCAGAAAGACTGTTGTTGGACATGTCTACTATCCATAACATGCTTTGATGGCTAAAAAACTCTGGAATTTCACCGGACAGATTATTGTTTGAGATAACCAAGGTTGTCAGTTGTGTTAGATTGCCTATGGACAAGGGAATTCTACCATCTAAAGAGTTCCTAGAGATATCTAAATCAGTCAGAGAGGGCATTACTTCACCAATGTTATCCGGGATGGCCCCAGAAAAGAAATTATCCCTCAAATACAGCTTAGTGACATTGGATGACCAGAGTGGGAGGGGACCAACAAAGAGATTTGAACTCAAATCAACAGTGGAAGACTCTCGGAAGCTTAAGGAGTTTGGTACCTTTCCTCTGAGCTGATTATAAGCAACATCTAGCTCATCTACCTGCAAATTCAACCCCCAAAACCAGTCTGGTAAGGTGTCGGAGATCCTAGCATTATTGAGCACCAAGGTGACCAGCTCATTCTGATTCCTGAGCCATGTAGGAAATTTGGGTCCCAGCTGACATGATCTAATATAAATGTACCTGAGCTTAAAAGGAGGAAGCCAATCAGAACTGAAGTTGAAAACCACAGAAACATTTGGGGATTTTCTGTTGAAATTTAACTCCTTAAGGCTTGAGAGATTCACAAAGTGAGCTTCAGTGACGACACCTTGCCAAGGGTTTTCAGAGAGATCTAAATATACCAGTGCTGAGAGTAGCCCCACCCTTTCTGTAAGACCATTCATTTTATTATCCGCAAGGTGGAACTGCTCCAAAGATGACAAATTTCCAATTGATGCTGGAATTGAACCTTGAAATGAGTTATGCCAAAGTTGAAGGTTTCTCAAGTTCTTGAGATATCCCAAGGAACTAGGGAGCTTTCCAGTAAATTCGTTGTATCCCAAATCCAATGTCTCTAAGCTGCTGCTATTGCATCTGGATAAACCATCAATGAAGTCGATTATTTCCCCGCTAACGTCATTGGTAGAAAGGATCAACGTATGTAAATTGCACAGATTCCCCAGACCTTTCATGCTTTCAAATGATGGAAGCTGACCCTGGAGATTGTTGGAGTTGAGATCAAGATATTGAAGGCTGCTGATGTTGAATAACCAATATGGGATTGTGGAGTTGAAGCCATTGTTGGAGAGGTCAAGCACCTGAAGAGATGTGAAGTTATTGAATGGCAAAGTGCTGGGTAGATTGGAAAGTCTACAGTTGGGCAGATGCAACTCCTTAAGAGAAGGCAGCATGTTAACAGCTTCAAGCCAATATCCTGAGGCCTTGATCAGATCAAAACCTTTCAAATGAAGATATTTCAAAGAAGAAAGACTGGAAAGCCATCTGAGATCACTCTCATTTGATTCACCAGGACTGTTGTCAAGATCAAGAAAATTCAAGTTTGAGAGGTTTCCAAAAGTAGGAGGTATAACTCCGCTAAGCGATGCACCAGAAAGGTTGAGATACTTCAACGTCCTTAGTGATCCAATGAAGTTAGGAATAGGGATACCTCCAAAATTATTCCCGCTCAAGTCCAAGTAATTCAGATAATTCAAGTGAAGAAGAGAAGGCTTGATCTCACCACCCAATGTGTCCATAGCTCCACTGCCTTCAAGGTTCTCTGCATTTGAGTTTCGGAGGTTGAGCTTGAAAACATGACCGGTTCTGTTGTTGCAACTCACTCCTCTCCATTTGCAACAATCTTCTCCATCCCAGGATGAGAGTTGATTGGAAGGATCTGTCAGGCCTTCTTTGAACTTGATGAGTGCTTCCCTCTCAGATGGAATGCAACTGGCATTAACATCACTCTGGCAAAAAGCAAAGCTGATGGTTTTGGGGTACAAAATCCCTGAAACCAACAGCACAATAGAAAGAAGCTCAATGGAAGAAACAGAATGACCCATTTCTATGATGTAAGAACTGATTGTATAGAATTCTAGCTAATTCACCAAGCAAGCATGAATCAATTAATATATAGAGGATTCTGAAGTTAACATTATTTGTCTTGCATGTGCTTTGCCATTCAACAAGTCTGCCTTGACTAAATTTTGATCCGTACGGATGCAACGACCCTCACATGGGAAGAGTCGAGTTGATTGGATTGTGGAATCTAGCAAAATATTGTCTTCCCTGTAGTCATGTAATACTAGTTCTCCACTTTAACCAAAAGAATCCATGTTTGACAATTCAAATATTAACTACCGATGATGGACCCCTAGCCTGGGTCAATGGAATTCGGGTGGGAAGCTTCGTTGCAACTTTTGTCTCAGATGTCTTTTGCTATCAGAAACCTAACCACACTCTGCAGCTGCTGGTGAGAATTGATGTGTGCCTTGATCTTCATGGATTTTTAACATGCAAACAACATAAATGAAGTGGAAGAAGAGGATAAGCTGTCTGGAAGCGAGCTGTTCAGATCAGAATACGTGCTCTCTGGAAAGGTTACTTATTGGTTGCCACCAATTCAAGGACAAAGAGATTTCTTTGAAGTAAACACATATGGTCATGTTTGGTAAAGTTGGTAAAAGGTTACAATTTTTTTATATTATTTATATTTTATAAATTTAATTTTGTTTAAAAAAGTTTAT